TCCCCCAAGGAAGAGTCACTAGGATACGTCGACGATGCACTGGTAGTAGCAGTAGCAAAAACAGTCAAGAAAACCGCAAAAATGCTGAAGACCTTCATGGAGTGCGAAAACGGAGGATTCAAATGGGCCTTGGACCATAACTCAAGATTTGAAATCAACAAACTCGCGGTAATGTACTGCACTTACGGAAAAATGAAAGCAGAAGATTACCCAAGACTGGAACTGCGCGGCACGGAAATCGAGCGAGTTGAGGAATACAAATATCTCGGAATCCACATCGACCAACACCTACAATGGAAATCCCAACTACAACACACGATACAGAAAGCGAAAGCATGGCTCATCCAATACAGAAGATCTACGCGCCCATTGACAGGGATCTCGGCCACACTAATGAGACAGCTATACATTGCGGTCGCCATACCAAAGATCACATATGGGATAGAGGTATGGTACAATCCGCCCCACAGAACGGGCCAAAAGACAAAGAGAACAGGATCGGTTAAGGCACTAACCGAACTCACCAAACTGCAGCGCATAGCTACCCTAGCCATAAACGGCGCCCTGCAAACAACACCCACCAATCTCCTCGATCCGCACGCAGGCATACTACCAATGGAACTCACTCTGCAGAAAATATGCTACAGGTCGACACTGAGAATAAGTACACTCCCATCCTCCAACCCGGTGGCCGAAATACTACGACGATATTGACGGCACCCAGCCACAAAACATATCACCAGCATCCAACATCACCTCCGAATGATGGACATCAACACGGCACACCTAGAAAAGATCCACCCAATGACAGCAAATCAAACACCAAAATACAAGATCACAACGGCACTCACTGCAGTAGAATCCATACAGGCCAAAGAAGAAGATACAGCTGAACTGAAAGCGTACACGGACGGAGCAATACAGGATGGAATGGTAGGAGCGGCGGCCATCCTATACCGGAAAGGCAGGACCAACCCAATAGGAACACTACGATACCAACTAGGACCCGACAAGGAACCCACGGTAACAGAGGCAGAGACTGTAGGCGGGATCCTGGCCATGTGGCTGCTACGAGGGATAAACGAAGTCCAAAGAACACCCTCATCGATCTATACAGATAGCAGAGCCTTCCAACAGATCCTACAGAAGAGACGCCCAAAATCCGGAGCCCACCTAATAACAATGCTCACGAAGACAACGGAGGAGGCAGCCAAGAAGTACGCAATAACAGGTAACCACCCAAGATTCAACATCCACTGGATAGCCAGCCACCGACAAGTCCCAGGAAACGAACAGGCAGACAAAGAGGCAAAGAAGGCTGCCCGGGAAGGGTCATTGCCAACATACGACTTGCCCCCGGCCCTGCGAAAGACACTCCCAGTCAGCATACACGCGGTCAAACGAAGGCAACTGAAGGAACTGAACACAGAGTGGGAGAAAGGATGGTCTAAGTCACAGCGAAGACCTTGGTTTGTCTCAGTCGACCCCAAATTTCCATTCAAAAAACATAGACAGATGGTAACTCTACTAACGCGCGCACAAAGCAGTCTGCTAGTCCAGATCCAAACCCGTCACATCCCACTCAACGGATATCTACACCGGTTACAAAAAGCCGACCATGCAAGATGCAAAGGATGTTGGAACAGGAGCAAAATAACAATCAAGGAGATGGTGCACCACTACCTATTTGAATGCCCAGAACACCGAGTCGCACGCAGTAAAATGGAGTCAACACTAGGCCGCGAAGCAATGGACCTACAGCACATACTCCAATGCCGACAAAAAATAGGAACTCTACTCAAGTTCATAGGGGAATCAAAAAGACTACAAATCTCATTCGGTGATGTATCGACAAACGAAACATAAGAACACGCTGACCCAACACACAGAGCCACCAAAAAACACCATTGAATGTTGCCCTACATTACAATACCCCCACCCCGCCTAATCCCCACTGACCATCCACCCACCCGAACTACGACAGGAACGCTAACCAATCTACCCCTAGACAATACATCCTCGTTGTATCTGGCCGCCCAGGCAGCCGGGTACTTAGCAGAAAGACCACACATAAGACGGAATGACGACACCTCAAAGTAGAAGCCACCCCGACACAGAGTATGTCTCCTCAAACGGCGCTAGCGCGCCGGGTCTTACGGGGATCGGAACGCGAGCAGGCAACCGCTTGGCGTACCACGTGAGATGCAGAGGAGAGTTTTGGAAGGGAGCAGGGTGCGGGGCACCCCGTAGCAAACATTTTACAAACACACTCGTAGCGTTAGGTCCGACATAGGGTTCACCCTACAGGACACTAAATTGACAAAAAAAAAAAAAAAAAAAAAAAAGCTCCTCAGATTTGCTGAGCTCTCAAGTGGCCATGTTGGGGTGAGTGTAATCATTTCTCTAATGACATGTTGATTCTAAGATTTCTAATTGAAACAAGATAAGTTTTAGCATACTTAAGAATATATAAATACACTTGCCATTAATTCTAGAGTCCATGGTTGCAGAATTAGAGGCTGATTCTACCTGAGTTGTCAAAGACTTGGCCAGAGAGTTTCTTTTATAACACAACTTGATGCCATTTGCAATGTGATCATTGCAAATGTGCATCTGACTTTGCTTAATTTGACCAAACGGTATGGCCAGTTTGATTACATACTTTGATATTACCAAAGAGACTGAATGATTGTTTGCACAAGGCCAAGTTGGCAGAGACAGCCAGAATGCGTTTTTTTAGTACTTTACCTTTTCCCACGGAATCTAATTGGATTCTGACCAGAATGGCCATATTCTGGTAGAATCCAAGGTGATTCCAGGTACCCTCTTACAGTCCAAGTGGAGTGTAAGTCAGTCCAAGCTCATTCCAATAATTTACAAAATGCGGAATGGATGTAGAATGGCCTAGGTATATTCCAAGCCCAGTCCAAGAGGATTCTATGTGTTGTAAACAATTAGCAAGCAAATATATGATTTCTTAATTCAATATAACTGCTATGTACTATACATCACTCTGTATCCTGGTATCAGATCCACTATTCACAGAGTCACTAGTCTTAGGATCACTATCTTTCTGGCCCTGCCTCTGCTTCTTCTGAAATTGCCTTTTTAGTACATATTGAGTGTGATAAAAGAGCATTGTATACAAGAAGCAATCAAAATTGCCAGATGTCATGTGTTCAAGAATTTGATTGCTCACAAGCCTAGACAAGGTATAATTAGTAAGTAGAATTTTACAATGTAGATGACATACCTGAGTATTGAATGCACATTTTTTGTAAGGCACCCATTGTTGTTATACTTTGACTATTCTACCATGAGATATATCTGCCTAGCTGCCTTGTCCGCTTTCAACTTCCATGCCTCCAAAGCGGCCTCCTCAGTTGGTTTAGGCAGTGAGGACACTGTAGGAGCAACCAATTTTCCCAAAACAATGCATTGGAGGCCAGCATTGCATAGCCAAGACTCTATTTTGCCAGACCAGGTGGCATAATTGGTTGCACTGACTTTGTCAAAGTTAGAAGCAGGTGTTGAATTTTGAGTAATAGGGAGTGGAATGTGCATGTAGCAACTTGAAAGTGAAAGGAGCAATGTATAGACGTGCAACAATGGGGCATGCAAAGTTAAACAAAGAGCAAGTGACAAATAAATGGACTGGCAAAGGCAAAAATGAGTTACTGGTGCACTCAGAGGCTGGGGCCCAACCCTGTTAAAAGAGGCAAAAGAGGCAAGGTGTAACAAGTTTGTGTGCTGAGTATGAACATCTTAACTCAATGGAGTGAATAGCAATGAGCAAACTGAAGTCCAGAGTTAGGAACTATGATATTGGTGACATCCAGTGTACTACTCACCTGAAGTCCAAAGTTAGGAACTAAGGACTTCAGGATGCTGTTGGAGCAAAATGTAACTACTATGACATGTAATTGTCAATTACCTGACATGAGAGTCACTCTAACATATCTGTTTATTTATTTGGCGCATCAAGAACATCATTCCAAAGAGCTCATAGAGGGTTGCTGCTAGCTGAAATGTGTCAAGAACAACAAAGCCAAGTTTACTGGTAGTGTCTTGAACTATCTTCCTGTATTTGGAGGAGCCATAGCCTGATCAATCACAACAGTCAACCTTGTGTCCAACACCAAGGGAAAGAAATCTACCCACTGAGTATAGCAAAATGGCAAAGACCCATTCTTTGCACTGGTCTTCAGCATGCAAAACTACCCACTTTTATTTATACCACAAAAGCCTTGAATTTGTGTCTCTATCAGTGCTGTTAACTGCTTTGGCAGCAAGTGTTTTGCTCCTCAAAAATGCAATGTGCGTGATGACCTTCCTCTGGGTTTCCTTGTCTCTTTTGACGGCTTTGAGCCAGACAGTATCTAAAAAAACATCTTGAGTTATATCTTTTTATTCAAGATTACTTTGACTTACTGGAGTTAAAGCTGCATTCCAACAATCAATACCTGCAGAGTAGGGTTGGTAACTACAAATTTCCAAAGTGAGGCACCAGGTCTTGTCCATTCTCTGTCTTTCTGTAGCCACCATCTGCCAGAGAGAAGGTGTTTGACAGTCTCCTGCTCAGCTAGCTGGTAAGCAATATCCTGGCTTGATGCTTGGTGATTTGATATGACAGAGCAGTTTCAAAATACTGCATTAAAACACTTGTTAAACTTCAGTTGCCACCCCAATATGAGGGCCAAATCTGATGATGTCTTTCTTCAGATGCAGAAGCAGATGATATTTAATCTTTGCAATAATCTTTGAAGGATTAATAAGAGCTGCAATATCCATAACATTCCCAACAGCAGTCACAATGTCTGACTAAATATTTTGCAATCAATATCCTACATAATGATGTACTCACAAGATACTTGTCTTAGGCCTTTATATCTGTGATCCATAATAGAGCAGACAGTTTGCCTAATGCCTTGGTCAGAAGAAATCACAGATTGTGTAAACATTGAAGACATTGACTTGAACTACATGTTAAATCAGAAAAGTGACCACACCAGGATTTAAACCTGGGATCTCCTGTATGTGCAGCTCTAACCACTGAGCTATGAGGCTGGGTTGAGTAGTGAGTTGGTTGGTCATATATATACCAACCAAGGATGGATATGTAGAACCAACACTACGGCACATGGCAGGGGCTAGTGCACTATGTAGACTATATGGTTCCCAGAGGATCTGACCATATCAAGCAACTTGTCCTGTCATGCTTAACACTACAGTCCTTTGCATATTTTTGTGAAAGTTGAAACGTTTTGTGCAATGTCATGTGAGGTTGGTGCCTTGCCAAACAACAGAGATCACTGATTGATCAGGCTGAATACAATTGCCCATTGCCCTGACATTTATTGTGCCATCTCGTATCTCTGATGACCTCAAAGACTGTATTGTACAGTGGTATTACACATTTGAAGACAATGAGGAAACAGGACCTTCCTCGGTGTTCAATTGGACTGGTCTACAATGTTATTTGCAACTACAGAGATTTTGGCCAAGTAAGAAATCCCTTCAGTGGTCTGGACAGCCTTGTGCCCTCATATATGAGGATATGACATTCCGCAATGCACTTCTTGATGCCAACCCATGCCTATACCTTGACAAGATGCAACAGAAGCTAAAGGATATCCGGGATGTTCATGTTTCTCTTCCCACAATCTCAAAGGTGTTACAAAGGCAGCAGCAGAAAGAAACAAAGAGGTCTGGTCTGTATGGGAGGGAACAATGGCTTAGTTTACAGATCCTGACCTTTTTGTTGCCTTGAACAAAAGTACGGATGATGATAAAACAGGACAAAGATTGCTTGGCTGGTCAGAAGTTGGCACACAGTGTGTCCAAAGAATGAGTTTCCTTTGTGGAGTGCACTATTCTATCCTTCCAGCACTTACTACCATTGGCATTGCTCTGGAAATCATTGAAGGCTCTATTACAAAGGAGAAGTTCTTAAATTTTCTTTGCAAACAGGTATGTAGTTTCCTCCTCATGTGCCTCTTAATGTAAATCATCTGAATCTAATTACACCCAGGCACCTCAACTAAATCCATATCCTGGAAATGGAAAGCAAAGTGTTGTGATTTTGGATAATTGTACTATACATCATAATGTCATTCAGGAGCTTATTGAGGACCAGTGCGGTCAGAACAAGTTTTTGTCAGTTCATAAATAGAGAGGTCTCATGTGTTGAATTTTTACAGGTGCTCATCTTATTTTCCTCCCACCTTACTCTCCTAATTTCAACCCCAAAGAAGCTTTCTCTCTGCAATAAAAGCCTTTTTGTGGCGACATGAAGCTTGTATTACAAGGCAGCAGATTCCTTAGCTTTTTAACCAGGCTGTTGCTGCCATTTCAGCTGATGACGCACCCAGATGGTTCTCTGAACCTGATGGTCCATCCAAGGAAGCATGACCAGGTCCAGAGCGGCCACAAAAAACTTTGGCCGGAGCCACAGCACTAACTGGACCAATCAATGCCTGGAGTAGCTCAGTCGGAGGACCAGCTGCAAGACACTGGCCAGCAACCTATAGAGATTTTATGAAACAAAAACTTGGAACAATAAAGTAAAACCCTTACCACCACAGCACCAAAGGCGCCAAGCTGGAATTGATTTAACCAATGTGAGAGGCATCTTTCATGATGAAACAAGCACCACCATGCTTTTGACAACCCCAAGCCGCTTTTATATTGTTGATGGCTTGACCAAGTGCAACCGCCGTTGAGAAGGTGTCCATAGAGGGAACCTTTAATTTTATCAGTCAATTTCAGAGGTAAAAATGAGAAAGGAAAATAAAATTATCATACATACACAAGTTCCCTGAATTAATGCTGCATGGGGGTCAGCATTACCATGAGAAGGCATCAGCTGTAGGAGAAAGTCAGAACTATCAACACCCATTGAATGTACAACCAACATACCTGCCTGCAATTCTTGTACCCCTCTATGGTATTGAGGTCAAAAGTAACACAAATGGTGTTTAATATCCCCTTTGTGGATCAAGCTTTCTCACAAAGTTTCACATCACGTGCCAGTTGGCATCATCTTGGGTGATAGGTGCTCAAGCCTTGCCTCCTCTGTCATAAATACTTTAGAGCTAGAAGATTTCTCATAAGAAGCGAGAAATCTGCATCCCAGAACCACATGTTGCTTCTGGAATATACATCTTTTGATAGCCATGAGCAGCAAGCGCAGCTGTGACAAACTGGACTTGAGTCAGATCAAGGACCTTGATGGCATCCAGAGTATTCAATTTGCTCATCTTCTTGGGACGTGAGGAGCAAAGGCTTTTCACTCTTTTAGTCCAATTGAATGTGATGAGAACAAAGAACTCAGGAATCAACTGCAAAAAGAGTCAGCACTGAAGGAAAAAGCAGAGATATTTGTATGTAAATCCTCAGGACTGATGATGTCTGCCAGAGCTTCAGTCCTTGTATTGGGGCTGGGATTGCGCAGGGGCATTTGCATCTTCAGCAAGAAATCAGAAAATAGAGACACGGCAAAGGGCAGAACAAACTCACTGCCCATTGCAGTACCTGGAATAACGTAATGAGCAAGGTGGGGAGCAACGGTTGGCAAAACCACAAGCTCACATGTTTTCAAGCGCAATACCGCCCCCTCCCTAATATGTTTTGCCAGATCAGGTAGAAATTCAATTCCCCAGGGGGTCTTGGGGCTCAATTTTGGATATTCTTGCTGCAAGTACAGGTTTTACTTACCAAAATGAAGATGAAATTAAAAAATCCACCCCAAAGACCCCCTAGGGTACCGCTATAAAAATAATTGCGTGTTGACCAGGAGGAGAACACAAGATAGGAAGGAGAAAATGTGTAATAGGTTTTGATGGATAAACAGCTCATTAACGGATTACATAACATGTGTTTGAGATGCGTCAGGAGCTGGCCCCTGAGCGACACATCTTGTTGCTACCTATACTCTACGGGACCTCCTTAATATGCTAGTTTATATTGCTTCTAATGGCACAAGAACCCAAAAAACGCAGTAAACGGACTTTGAAGCAAAAGGAGTGTACCACTGCTGCACTTGACAAGGCCCAAGAACCACAACAAAACCCATGCAGAGAACAAACCAATGCTGTCCACCTAGAGTCACCCACAAAGGACATCAGAAGACTCACAAGGAATACAGACCTCTCACAGAAGGTCCAGGAGACATCCAAAAAATACTAGAATGCTTGCCAACGGAATCTGAGGCTGGAGAAAGCAGCTGAATTGCATTGTGTGGACTTGAAAGAGACCCATGTTGATTCAATTTGCATGCATGGAGTCATAAATATATTGGAGAAGGTGTTGAAAGAGGCGAACAAGGCAAGTAGTAACGAGCCTATGTGCCGAGTATTAACGTCTCAGCTCAACAGAGTGAATAGCAACAAGGGAACTGAAGTCCAAAGTTAGGAACTGTGATATTGGTGATATCTAGTGTACTACTCACCTGAAGTCCGAAGTTAGGAGCTAAGGACTTCAGGATGCTGCTGGAGCGAAGTGTAACCACTGTGACATGTAACTGTCAATCACCTGACATGAGAGTCACTCTAACACCCCCCCATGATCTTGTATGTCTACAATGAAGAGATGGAATGAATGAAAATAAAACAAACTAAGGTAAAATGCCCATTTGTTCACGACAGAATTTGACTTTAGGCGCTGGTACTGCCTTGGTGAAGTTGTCCGCAATCATCTCCGCAGTAGGAATGTAGTTTGGTGCAATTTCGCCATAGTCAACAGTGTTGCGAAGCCAGTAGAACCGGATATCAAGGTGTTTCATTCTACCATGGTGTTCCGGGTTTTTGGAGACTGTGATTGGGCTCTGGTTGTCCATCTTGAGTGTAGAGGCCTGTTTGACAGGATAGCCAAACTCTGAGAGAATGTGTCGCATCCAACTGATTTCCTTCCCAGCTTCAACTGCAGCCACATACTCGGCTTCAGTGGTAGACAGCGCTACAATGGTTTGCAACTTGCTGCCCCAGCCAATCGCACCACCAGCAACAACTGTCACATAACCACCAGTAGAACGTCCAGTATCCGGGGGCAATCACCATGGGAAGAGTCTGTGTATGTGGTGAAGAGCTCATCACCAACATTGTTGCCAGAGTATGTGAGTTTGTGTTCAATGGTGCCCTTGACATAGCGAAGGAGATGCTTCAGTGCCTGCCAGTGTTTGGGGCCAGGATTTGCATTAAAGCGAGCAAGAGTGGAGACAGCATGTTGGATGTCAGGACGAGTCATAGTGGCCAGATACTGAAGCAAACCAACTGCTGAGAGGTAGGGAACATTGGCCATGAACTGTTTCTCCTCATCTGACTTGGGAGCCATGTCATGCGATAATTCGAGTTTTGGAGGAAGGGGAGTGAGCACAGGATGGCAGTCACTCATACCATACTTTTCCAAGGTGTCAACAATGAACCGTGATTGTGCGAGTAGAGCGCAGTCTACCCACTCCAACACCAAGTAGATACTTGGTAGGGCCCAAATCGCGACATTTGAAGTGTTGGGAAAGGATCTTGACATACTTGTCAATGGCAGCAGTGGATTTTGAAGCGAATGTGATATCATCGATATAGATGGGAACAATGATCCTGACTTCGCCATTTGAGTAGACATAGACAGAGCGGTCAGATTCAATGTGTTTGAAGCCCATTTCGCTGAGAACAGAGTGCAGCTTCTTGTTCCATTGACGAGCTGACTGTTTGAGACCATAGAGCGATTTCCGGAGTTTGCAGACTTGGTGAGGTGCTCCAATGTGGAATCCCTCTGGCTGCTTCATGTAGATCACTTCATCCAAGTCACCATTGGGGAATGCGGAGGTAATGTCCACAGAGCGAAGTTCCAGGTCCTCAATGGCAGCTAATGCAAGAATGAGGCGTAGAGTTGCAGGACGGAATGTGGGAGCAAAGACTTCGTTGTAGTCAATGCCAGGACGTTGAGAATAGCCTTTAGCAACGATACGAGCCTTGTAGCGCTCAATGGAACCGTCCGCATTGCGTTTGACCTTGAATACCCATCCACAGCCAATTGCCTTTTCACCAGAAGGTAAATCAACGATTTCCCAA